ACAACATTTTCGGGCCCGTCCTAATGGCCACTCGAGAATCCTTTCTTGCCGAGTTTGGCCGCGCGAAGGTGTAAATTGGATGGCGGCGGCGAGCAAGGACCTCGTTTTGGCGCATCGAAAAAAAAAGTCACCGTCGTCGCCAAGTCGTGTCGATGATCGCACGCATTGCGGATATTCTTATGAGAGCTTTCTCTCTTCTGCAGGGAAAAAAGTGTCACAGATCACTGCTATGCTGATTTGTGCATGTGTGAAAGAAAAAGAAAACTATTTTCTCTAGAGAAGTGTATTACGATAATTTATAGTAAAAAAAAATCGCACATATATGAATTTGATTACCGTTATCTGTTATAACGTGTATAAGTAATTTAAAATATAAATCGTTCTAGAAAATATTTCATTCTGCTTTATTCGCAGCTTACTTCGATATTTATATTCACTTATCTATTTGTATGTATTCGACAGCTAAAGATAGGACGGAAATAGCTTTACATATATTTGATAGCTTAAAACGTGTTTTAATGCGTGACGCAAATACTTAGGGATTTCAAGCAGTTTCAAACGGACCGCTGATATTGAACTACAGCCTTGTCGATGGTGATCGACGACTGAGACGTAAATTTAGCGGCATGAGACCAGGTAGCTCGAATTAGAAAACATTGACCGTCAAGGCGCTGATATAAAGACCTTACCGTACAGAATCACCTGAGAGTTCTGCGAAGACGAGCTTTAGGCATGACTAATCTCGTGAGCGACAGAATTATTAATCTGCAGAATTACCTTATAGTATCTCGACGTTTCTGATTTTTTTTTATAGTAATGTTAAAGCTCAGAACACAATGAAAGGAATAAGGAACAGGAAATTGAACATAATATAGGAATTAGAAAAAAATCAGAAGCAAACAATGTAATTTTTCGTTCTACCTTTCCTAATTCCTTACGTTCAATTCTCTATCTCTTTTATTGTGTCTGATGAGTTCTTATAGTATTAATAATATATTTAGTATCATATAACTTTAGCATCAAGTCGCAAAAATCCGAACATTGTCAATTTTAAATTCTTTGTTTTATATATAAAAATTTATGGCAAATAAAAAATGATAATGCAAAAACAATTAATTGACTACAGTTTACAAACATATTCGTTTGCTTCGAGAGTATATTCTTCCTCGTGCTGGCTTCCTTGGAGGTTGCCATTTATCACGAAGGTAGCCAGGGTCTTCTATGAATCAAGATTATCTACCGAGCGTGAGAATCGCCGCCGCGATCGCAGCTCGTTAACTTAATCCGATGAAGAATTGACAAGACAGTGCTTATATTTCCGTCGCGAACTACATTCTTGGCAGAGTGGTTAAATAAAGTTATGTTAAATAAAGTTGTGATTTAACTCAAATAATATGCAGATCAATTTCTCTCGCTTATCATTCCAGAATGGATTGCGGATTTTTATGCGATGCATCTTTAAAACTGGTTGCGAAATGATTGCACTGTTAATCAACGGTAAAAACGAACAATAACAGTGATGTGCATGTATGCGGCATAAAAGAAAACTAATGGCGCATAAATAAAAATTTTGTTTTCATTTATATTTATGAGTACAAGCTTGCAAGAGTGCGTGTGATTTTAAGATTCGGGGTCTTTGAAAATTTATTTTACAACTCGTTAAAATAAAATAAAAAATTAACCGCAGCGTATAACACTCATAAAATGCTTATTGCTTTAAAAGTATTTATTACACATGACAAGAAATACTGTTCCTTATAACGTACTCAAAAATGTACTTGACTTGAACACCGGAATAATAATAGCGCTACTAAGGCGTCGACGAAAGGTCAATACTCTTTTCTCAGTTTCCCTGGATATCTCGTCGGATTTTCTGTGTGTTTTATAAAGCGGCCGTAGGATCCTTCTACCTGAACGTTCGAAGGTGTAAGGGCGTGCGGCATTTCCTCAAAGATTCAAAAGTACTGTAAAAAGGAAGGAAAGAGAGAGAAAGAGAGGCAGAAGAAAAGGGAGAGATGCAAGTCCCAGAAGCTCGTTTTAAAAGGCTCCTTTAAATTTTTGCAGGTTTACGTGCAGGTTTACTGGCCCCAGAAAATACCGCTTCATCCTGTGGACACTATTGTCATCTAACAATACCGCGGTATATACAAATTCGTCTCTAAAAACCCGTATAATCGTCCCGCGAGCTCCTTTCACAGATTGCTCCGAGAAACGTGGTGCGCAAATCTTTATGAAATTTAAGCCTCAAGATCTTTACTTTGTCATGGATTTATAATTCTTAAACACCTGGAACAAGCACAATGATGTTTCCTACCTGGATTCGATACATTTTCCTTATATACATATACTATTCAGAAACTGTGAAATTTGTGACACTCTTAAATAGTCACGAAAAGTTTAAAATGATTAATGCCACTGTGCGAATGCATTATATAAATCTCTGGCGCGTTTCATGTTAAAATAGATTTTCTACATATACAATAAGATTCACGTAAAATAAATATCTCGAATAGAACGCGTACATATTTGCGAGTCGAAATAGGTGACTCTTGGTGGTCATAAGAAAAAAAAACTTATCGAAGCTATTAAAAAATTTTCTTTGACGAAACTATCTTTAAACTCTCGCTTTCTTAAGATTTATAAACTGTATGTCCAACTGCTCACAAAAGAAAAGAATGTTTAGACGAAAAGAACGTTTCTTTTCCCATATTTTTGTCCAAGATCTTTTCTTACGTTTCAAATGCGTTAGAATATGTTTCCACAACCTATTTCAAATTCATCCTGTATACATATATTTTTTTCTCTCTGACAGGATTTTCGCCTTATTGATCACTAACGTGAGAAACTGAAATTTTTGCGAATTATTCACAAACAAAGATCCAACAGATTAGCCTGGATCGATATCGCTCGTTCGACTGTTGCGACGCGTAAGGTGCAGCCCACGTGCACACCGTGACATTCCAATCGTGACTTGCAATCTGCATTCGTAACTTCGTATCTACTCCGACCAATGTCCGATCTTTTACGCTGTTAGTCTCCTTTTAACGGCGCGCGCGCGGGATGAATAAGAACTCGCTAATTGTAAGTAAAGCCATTCGTTGAAAGCGCGATAATTGTAGTACCGTTAACTCATGTTTATATAATTAGAGACTTTTAAAGCAAATATGTTATACTGGCCGTAAGCTCTGGGACTTACGTATCGCCGTTTATTGAGCAAACAGAATAAGAAATAATTTTTCAATGTCGCGCACAGATTTAATTCGTTGATGAAAGAAGCAACGTTCGTGTATTATTCATAAAGCAGTGGCCGTTAAATTAAAAAGTTACTGAAAAAGTTCTTTCCTTCAGAATAAAAGAAAGACGTTGTGTTACGTGTCAGGCATTCTGTACGATTTTTTTGTTTGTTTGCAGAAACCAGCTTACTGCGTTTAATTTATTGCAAGATGAAAAAGGCGAAGAGAGAGAGAGAGAGAAAGAGCATCTATTCGGCCGCTTCTGTGCTCGAGTATAAATGATTCCACTGATAAAGTGCTGATGCATACCACGGCTCTTCTTACGTAGACAATCAGTCGTGTATCGGCGATATTGAATTCACGGTGTGCCCGCACGATCGCGTGTTTGCTCGTGCTATAGTCGTGCACGAAACGAGAAGAATCGACGGGAATGCGGACGATGTCGTTGCGGGCGTATCTATATAAAATGTGTTTGATCGATAGAAGAAGCGGGCGTTATGTTAGTCTCTTTGTAGCCAAAACTGATCAACTTCGCAAATAAAAAAAAAAGCGGAAACAATTCATGAAGTTATATAAGCTGATCGCGAGTTCCGCGGTAAATCGAGAAATTTATCAAAAGTTCATTTAACAAGTCGGAGTTGGCTTTTGAAAGAGACTCTCTTTCCGAGAGGATCTCAATCCGGAAAGATCTGCCAACGGAATAAATCGAGAAGGTGAGGGGGTTTCCCCTCCCACGCCCCCTCCCCCGCGCGATATCTCACAAAAGACTCACTGAACCGCGTCACGAGCGAAAATGTGTCATTACCGCGCAAAATTACGATGCCGGCGCTTCCATACGCATCCTGCGTCCCCCCGATATAATTGCCATGAATTAGCGTCGATCGATGGACAGCCCGTGGAGAAATGTCGGCGCGTATATCGCAGGGGCTACTAACATCGTTACGCTACGACCGCATTTTTCGGAGCGTAAATTACATGGGTTAGATTTTAGGATAGAAATTTAACCGCATTTCTCTATTTACAATCTCTTGCTTGTGCATTTGAACGTATATGTATATAATACGTCTCAATATATTTTAACATATTTTAATATAATATATTTTATTATATTTTATTATAATATATTTCACATACGTGCAATGTCATCTGACTTTTAATATATTTTATTGTAATATTTTATTAAAATATATTTCACATACGTGCAATGTCATCTGACTTTTCAATCGTTTCTCGTTTAAAAATTACATAAAATTACAAATAAAGTTATACCATCCTGAATTCTGATGCGAACTGTTTGGTCAGCGGATTTAAATTTAAAAAACCAAAAAAATAAGATTAATTGGCGTATGATCGTTCGAGGAAAAGTCTAATGTTTCTTTTTGAAAAATAAAGTCAGAAAAAAATTAAATCCTTTAAATATCGTAACATAAAAATGTCCGTATAAGACGTACGATCGTCGCGTGTTGCAGTTCCGCCAGAAGTACTCCAGAAAGTATCGTCCCTCGTTAAATTGTACGCGCTATACAGACGCTAACGCGCTCGGTTGATCTCATTCATCGCCGCGTAATTCGTATAGTAAACACGCGAGCTTTAATCGATCGCCCCCGATCGCCGCCGGGATGCGAGCCACTGCGTGCGCGTGAATTACCGGGTGCCGGGCGCGACCCCGGAGGAGTGTGTAATAATCCTCGGCCGTGGCACGTGGCGGGGCCGGCTTACGGGCGGTTACGTGTGTGTATATATACACGAAGATTGAAAAGTACTCACTCTGACAGTTGACGGCACCCAGAAGGACGATCAACAGCAGGATCCTCGTCGGCTCCATTCTCCGCGGAGGGTTGTTTCTGCAGCTGTCACAAGAGTCACAGCACAACTTATTAACCTTCGCCTGTCCCGCGGGGAAGAGTCTCCAGACGAGCCACTCGAGAATAATCACCGGGAGATCGGAGGCGGTTCCCCTCCCCCGGGCCCGCGACTATGAAAACGAACTCGAGAGGGTTATCTCGTGTCGCACGAAAAAGACGAGAGAGGGTCTGTCCTCAGGCTGTCGCTCCAAGTTCGTCGCGAGTCTCCCCGAGAGATTGCGTTCCGCTTCCTGTTCTCCTTCCTCCGTTCTTCTTTCCTCTCCGTCTTCGCGGGACGAAACGGAGCGTGCAGGCACTTTCCGCGCTAATTTCACCGTGCAGAGGCGAATGAGTATACCGTTCCGTACCTCCCAGCGTCACGCCGGTTTCCCTCGATAACGGCACGACGACGACGACGATCGCCGGTGCGGATTGCCTCTTCCCTCAGAAAGAGAGAAAGAGAGAGACAGAGGGTGAGAGAAAAAAATTTGCCCTCCTCTCTTCGGTTTCTGTCACTATCGGAGCGCGAGGGAGTGGAAAGACCGTGGCGTGCTTCCCCCTCATGCGTTGCGGATGACCGCCGGCTGGCTCCCTTTCGCGGGAGGGTTGACGCGGCGCGCGTATATCGGAGAAGATATCCGGCTGTGACACACACACCGGTCGTGTCGTCGGGTTTAAATGCGTGGGATCAAAGTGAACGCGTGACCGCGCGGCGCAGCGGCTCGCAGACGAATGCCACCGCCACCGGAGTCACCGAGAGAGCGCCGCTCTTCCGAGTTCCGCGTCGGCACGTAGGTGCGCGTCCGTAAGTCTTCCCCCCTCCCGGCCGCTCTTCCGCCGCGCGCCGCGCCGGCCGGTCGCCGGCGCCGCCGTCGTCTCCCTCCTTATCCCCACCGGGCGCGTCGAGCGCGCGTGCGGTCGACGCATCAATTACGTTTGAATCGGAGCCGACGCGACGCCGACGACGACCGCTCAGCTCGGACGGCTTCTCGAAAAATTATTTCTTTTCGCTCCCGGAAACGCGTGTTTCTCCCTCTTTCTCTCTCTCTCGGATTACGGATCTTCGTAAAGAAGATTCCCGCATGAGTGACGCTCGAGAAAAATGCTCGTTTTTCTAACGAACTCGGTAATTTTTAGTTTAGCTCAATCAATCATTTTTAATTTCTAATTTAATTTGAAGTATAAGGCCGACTTTTTGGGCATTATTTTCAAAGATATAATTATATACGGCATTTTTATCAGGTTAAGTGATGCGTGTGCGGAGTGGACATGAAAATTACACGCGGTTGATTGTGACGTGACGAATAATGCACACCGCAACCCGCAACCGCAATCGATAATCAGTCTCGCTTCGAATTTCGCACACTCATACAAAATTGTAACGCGCGGCTCATATTTGCCATTTTTTCGAGATTGTATAAATTGATTAAACTTATTATTAATTATACAGTTATTATATAGACGTATAGAATTATTTACTTCTATTTAATGTTTTACTCTTTTTAGCGCATCCACCTTAATTATTGTATGACATTACTTACAATACAAAAATAAAGTTTTAAAAACAATATTCTGTAAAAAAAAACGGAAATTATTAAAGAGTTGATTATACAAAATAAATATATCCTCTTTTTAATTTTTAATCAGTTTAAGAATTATTTTTTATTTCTAATATTTTTTTACTTGTGATTTTCCCTTTCTTTCTCTTTTTCACTTTCTCTTTTCCTGAATAAAATCTGCCAGGCGATACACTGACAGCTCCGTGAAATGGTTCGGAAAACAAGATTACCCACTCAAAACGAGGGTCACCGATGCGTGAACGTTTTAGAGAAAAGTATTTCTAATGGAAATATTGTATCATTCGGTATTATAGTATAGCGGAAGAATTTTTGGCTGAAATCCAGCTAGACCGCAACGGTACCTATTTATATTTTAACGTCATTCGTATAGTTGCAACATATGAAATAATTCAATATGCTTTTTCTTTTAGCTCCACTTATTAGCATACAAATTAGCGCCTCCACATGCAAAATATCGTATATAATTAGTGTCATATACGCAGTGTATCTTGTGATACTTCCATTAGCCTTTTATATTTAATTAGTAACTCATATATCGTTAACTGTACAAGAATAAAGCGCAGATTATGTAACTGTATACTTGTAACATTCACGAATACAAATGAAAGCTTACATTTCACTACGTATATTTTCGGAAAGGACTCTTGCAAATGCTCCCTGCAGTTGTGTTGTATATATGTATACAAAAGTTATCTTATTCTAGCATCTCGATTGACGACTGAATTGAATGGCTCAGGTACGCGTTTAGACGCAACAATGTTGGGCGTAGAGACGCCGAGAATGAATGGACGGATCGGTGAATGAACGTACCGGACGCACGCGTGCGGGGGTGGCGGGAGGGAGGGGGGGAGGAAGGGGCTTCGGATTCCATTCCCATTCCGATCCCAGTCCCATTCTCATTCTCTCAACCCTTCCGATGCGCCTTGTGCCTCGTGAACGAACAACGAGATTGGAATCCATAAAGAGATATATCCTCCCGCGACCCATTGAACGCCGTCAAACCGCGTTTCCTTCCATGATCCTGCTGCGTGCCGGCAAAAATAAATCGAAAAACGAATAATACCAGTTTCTTTTTTTTTAATCGGATCTGTCCTACCCCCAGTAGCTCGATGCATGATTCAGATGCTGTTCTGTGGCTCACGGGAGATCGTATTAAGATTAAGCGTCGACGCAGACACGAGACTTGTCGTTGGTGTCCAAGATATAGAGCTCCGCACAATTGAACGTTTTATCTCCTTTCCAAAAGAAGATAATAACGAGTTTATTATAGGCATGTTGCTCGGCCAACGAAGGATTCTGTCGCTCCTAGATTAACATCTTTGCCGAAGAGGCAACTTTCGAGTATTTCTCGGGAGAAAGATTTTAGGTAGCGCGGATCGTTAGTATTCAACCCAGGGAATTACGTATCGTGGCTACCCCACCCCCCCCAAAAAAATTTGAATTTCAAGTCCCGATATTCATCAGAGATATAGGCCCCTTATATTCGCGATAAAGGAAGAGACACGTACAAAATAATTCGTCAATGATCGCGAGCGCGCTGACAATCGTGATTTTTGTCGCGTTGCGCTTGGCAACGAGCTGCGCCCTCAACAGTTTCTCCATGGTGGTCTCGACAATGGGATTTTTTCCTCGCCTCCACGGCGCAGAACCCCGACGAGACGACTACAAAGTGCTGAATTTGTAAGAAAAGGCGGGAGACTGAAAACTCATATAACAGTCGTGCACGGTAACAGGTTACAGCAGGGCGAATGGTAGCCGGTCCTTTCTTTTTTCGGAGCTCGGAGCCGACTGCCAAAGGACGACAATGCGGTTGAATACTGAACGCACGATCTCCCTCGGAATTTTCATTCTTCGTGGTTGACTAACACAATGAGAGAATCGTGGCAGTATGTTGAGTCTCGAATTTTCACGTTCGAACCTGCACGCAGCGAAAGTAAAATTTTACGACTCCGGTCAAAAGTCAGATATTTATCGTGGCGTTCTTGTTTCTACATATTTTCATACTCTTGTCGTTTATTGTGGCTGCACGTTCAGCGGTTGCTGCTAATCAAATAAACGCATCAACCCGTGTAATCCGTGAAAATCGTGACAAATTTTTTCAGCGCTTTATTTACAAGTCGAAAATAAATTGCATTGTACAACGGGAAAGCTGTTATTTATTATCTTCATGACTTTATCCGCACGATACAATAGTTATTTATGGGCTCGTGCACGTATTTTCATATAATTCGTAATTTTTAATTAGTCGAGACACAAGGTCGCGTTATTAAAAATATACAGAAGGCATCCGCTGCAGAATCATTTAATTACGTTGCAGATTTCACGGATTACAGCGAAAGACCGTCGGCTTAATTATCCGGCTGGCTTTTGCGCTTAAGCGACAGTCGCTAATTGCAGTGCCTTTGTCTCGTTGCATCGCCATCATTATCGTCGCGTGTTTGTATCGTCATCATTATCTAAATTAAGTAGGAGACATTGTTCTTAATGCTGTGGATAATAGCAATCATTGAAACGACATTAATAAGCAATTGTATGCACGAATAGCCTGTAAATTAGGCTTCAAACATGTGACATTATTAAATTCTTTTGAAGTGATGCATAATGAAACCAAAAAAATCGGAAATTCATGTATTTTCTTCTAATAAAGTCAAGAATCCGCGTTTATCTGGAATATATATCTATTTAAATCCATGTTATATACAAAGCATTTTTAAATTCGGTATCTTTATTAATATTTATCCGATTAAAATGTTTTTAAACAAATTTTTACTCGAAATTATACTCGGTATAAAATTAATTCCTAATATAATCGGTATACTTGAAATTATACACTAATAACAAAATAACTTTTAAAACCCAATCTCAATACCACACCGAATTCGTTGGGTATTTAAAAACTTGCGTTACAAGTTCACTGGTAGAGCTTTTCTTCTTCTCACTTTCTAGCGTGCAACTGCGAAATCATTTTACGTCATCGTAACAGGAAATTCCGAGGAGAGGGTGTTTCGTGAAGGCCGAGAGCTCGCGGGTGGCGAGCATTTCGACCGATGAAGTTCCAGCGGTGGTATGCCGTGCCGTGCACCACGAGCACCTGCCACTTATTTCCTCTCATTTCTGCCTCCTTTTTTTCCCTCGCTTCTCTCGTTTTCTCTCTTAACTCCCATTAAACGTCGTTCCGTCTTCGGCAGACCGGCTACCGCCCGAAATGAAAGAGTAGGTGTTTGCCAAGGAATCTCCGCGATCGACGACGGGTCTGCACCGGTAACTCGAAAACCTAATTTCTGTCGGCGTGATCATGCCCGCCTTTGTGCCTCCAGCGGATAAAAATCTACCGAGTAACGACCGTTTTGCTTGACGAGTCACATTAGCGTACCGAACAATGGACTTCTTTGATATTTTTAAGCCGCTGAACTTATCGTTCTGAATCAATCGCTTTAGCATTCATGTTAATTTGTTGGAAAATGACAGTCCATTCGATATTTTGTATAAATTCTGTCGGCAAATTCTGTGACATGATTTTAGGACTAATTTCAAATTTTGCTTTATATTATTGTGTATTTACATGAAATGTTTTATATGTAATTTAGAAAATGAGTTGAAATTGAAATAAAAAATGTAAATACATATTTTTATGTATACAAAAAAAATAAAAAGTAAGAGAGCGAGAAAGAAAAAGAGAAAGAGAGAGAGAGAAAGTTTGAATTAAGTGTTATGTAGTATGAAATCTATAAAATTGTTTTCACAAATGTTAAAAGAATTATAGTGTAAAAATGTTGTCTTTGATTCTTCAAAGTAAAGAATTTAGATCGATATCAGAGCACTTAGATATACATAAAAATCAAGATTTTGTAAAGAATTTATAAAATAAGCGTTTTAGTTTGCCAGAAAGATATAGCATCTAGCATACAGCATCGAAATAGACACTTAATTATAACGCTCTCATTCGCGGTTGCTTGCTCCGGACTCGCCCGAGTTGCCACTTTGGCTTTTGGTTTATCAACGTGTCATCGCGGGCTCGCTTAATTTACGAAAGAAAGCCAGAACGATGTAAACAGTCGATCGGCCCTGGAAGGCCGCGAGCCGCCGCGCCCGCGTCGCGCCGCTTCGGGCTCGCACGG